ACACACACACACACACACACACACACACACACACACACACACACACACACACACACACACACACACACAAACACAGTCTTTGTGTGGGGGAAAAGACTTTACATTCTGCTAAGAAAAAGAGCTGATGTAAATTGATGATGCCAAATCCGTTTGCTTCTGGTTTCGTTGAGAAACCAAAGTATGCTTTTGTTTCTAAGAATATGATTTCACAGAAATGGTTGAGAAGGAAGCAGAGGTTGAGTGAGGGCAGCAAATGCAATGTTTTTCTCTTGAGTGTGACCCTTGAATAATTATGTGAACTGGTGGCCAAGATCTAAATCTCAAAACAAGAGACAGCTGTCTCCTGAATCAACAACAAGTTGTACAGCCTGGATGGTTTCTCATTGTTTGAAAGTAATAAAAAATTGTAAATTAAAGAAACTCTGCATTCCTTTTCATACAGGAAACAATGCTGAACCAAAATCTTTGGCTGAACCGGTGACCTTGTAAAGCTCACCTGCATTGTTTGATAATTGCACAAAATATTATTATTACACTAAATTATGCCTTTCCTACCCTCTGACCTATTGCCACGAAAACCTGGATTGAATTCAAGCTTTACCTCACCTGTAGATATGTTCTCGGGTTATTACTCAAACCTGGTAACTGCCATTAACATGATTTCTGCTTTTTTTTTAACACTTTGATCATAAAGCATATCTGGGCGTTTTAATGTTTCCTTAAAACTACTGCCTATTTTTACATTACCAGTATTTTTTAATACTAGTAAGTAATCTGGTAGTGACTAGTAGTATCAACTTTAATGTTACTCCAGAACAAACTAGTACTCAGAGACTAATCCATTGCAACTGAAAACAAATTGCACATATTTTGAATTCCATTTGGGATCTGTAGTTCAGATATCAACTAGTCACTTCCAACTACCATGTATATCAATTTGTAGTTTCACCAGTATTCCAGTTGTTGCTGGTACCTATTTTTGGTACCTAGCTTTACTGTTCTATACTCATTTAGGTACTACTAATTTCTAATCCTATTTACTATATATTAGTCATTGCTGGGTAGTATCTGATTACATGTAATCTGGATAATGTAATCAGATTCCAAGTAATTAATTAGATTGTTATTAGATTATATTGCATTTTAGAATACTCGTAATCAGACTACAGTTACTTTTTTATTGATTACATGATTACATATTATTCACATAATAGCAATAAATTATTCATAATTTATTGATTCTCGCTAATTCTTTTTGTTCTTTTAAATTGTCCTTTCTAAAATAGCCTATACCGCTTATATACACTCAGAAAGTCAATTTTAATTGTTTTCTTGGCTTTTTTTAGTGAGTGTTTTATTTTGAATGATGTTATTTTAAAATGATAAATTTAGTTATTTTCTTTTCATTATACTTACGAACCCCCTGCAGTTCCTTCACAAATTACAGTTTGGGAAACCTTGACATAATGTAATGTTTAATGCACATCATGTTGTTAATAAAAATGAATAGAATACATTTTCTTTCTCTTTGTACTGTATATCAACGAGATTTTCTTATTTAAATCAATGTGATAAACAAGTTAGGTCAAAAGTAATCTAAAAGTAATCTCATTAGATTACCTTAAATGTGTAATGTAATGGATTAAGTTACTACCTACTATTTTGGTTGCACTTTATTTTACAGTACGCGCACTTACATGTACTTACAGTGTACCTATAAGTACTGGTAATATAAGGTAACTACATGGGGTAGGGTTAGGTTCAGGGTTAGTACCTAGTTTTTACCTAGTTATTGTAGTTACTATAATAAGTACATAGTACAAACATGAGTAACAGGACTGTAAAATAAAGTGCTACCACAATTTTTGTCATGTAATTTGGAATCAGTAACACACTTTCATTTGTAAGTAATTACACTTTATTAGACACTACTGTGGCATTTTTAGTATTACTAGTAAAACTTTTAATTGAAGTATAAAGCAACCATTCGGAGTCATTAGTAAAAAGGCAACTGTAACTAGTGAGATGAGAAATGTTACTGTTAACTACTGGGAAAGATATTATATAGCCTCTTATAAATAGACACTAAAATAAGCACTGGTGAAGTTGGAGTAGAAAGTAAATACTGTAATAAGTATTATGCTAGTATTTAATAAATCATACTTGTGAAAATTAAAAAGATACTAGTCACTGCTAGTATGACTGACTAGTAGTTAAAAAATAGCCTACTAGTACAATGCAGCCTCTTCTGCAAGCTAGTTTAAATACTTCATAAATGTTTTGCCTGATTTAAAATTATTAATAATATTATAGAGCATTATATACCTAGCCTATGCATGGCTCCGGACTAAATGTTCTCATATGGTATTTACTGGTTTGGCGTCCTGTAGGCATATTTGCAGTCCTTTGAAGCACGCCTGAGGTCACTGATCTCTCGGGAGCAAAACACCACATTCTTTTTTTGTGTGCCCAGCAGAGCTGCTCTTTGACTTCTTTGCCCACATAAGGCAGGAGATACCATGGCAACCGTGGGCTTGAATAGCTGTGTCAAATCCCTCCGCACCCCCCTCTCTCTCACACACACACACACACACTCTCTCTCTCTCTCTCTCTCTCTCTCTCTCTCACACAGGCACGCGGCGCGCGCGCTCTACTGGACACTGGCTGGCTCGCGCTATCTCTTGTCCTCTTCAAGCCAGCGCGACTTTTGCACTTCCAAACACAGGTAGGGGTACTGAAACACTCCCGGGGTTTCGCCGCGGTTATCGGTACGCTAGCTTGTCATTCGGGGCGTCAAAGGTGAGCGCGAATATATAGAGAGTTCGCCGAAGCCACGAGTGAGGCATGTCGCTAAAGCTATGGCTCCACCCCTCCCCCTGCCTGAGGATCGCTGGAGGTTAGGCCGCATGTCTGTTACTGGCGCTCATAAAAAACAAGAAAGGGACGTTTAGCTCCGGATCACGGCGAAACCATTAACACGAGCTTACGTTATGGTTTCACCCGTTCCGTTTTTGATTCAGCCGTTTTCAATCAGCGCCACAGTAACTGTTCGAGAGACTCCAAAAGTATGCCCTCATTTCACAACAAACAAGCGCAGCACTTCCTTGAGCAATCAGTATAGTGCAGGAAGGCGCTGCTTTTTATACCGAGATGTTCTGATTAGTATGCGATTATAGCTTGTTATGGTATGCTTTAAGACGTTTATATTTTGAAATATCACTGTATGTGTATGTGTGGGTGTGTTTCTGTTTTGTTCCTCATTACTGGATCTTGGCAAGAAATTTTGAAAGGTTAGACATTTTAGTAAAATTCTTTGGTAATCTCTGGCTACTAGGCTCCAGTGAAATTGTCTAAAAATTATTTTAAAATATATTAATAGTTGATATATTATGTACTCATATTGTAAAAGCCACAGTATGTAGAGCAAAACTTCTACGGTCAGGGTTCCTGCTCTCTTAGTAAATGAATCCAGGCCAGGAAAAGTCATGGAAATTTTTTTAGGTGACATATGTTATTAGTTTTGCTCCATTAATTATTAAGTGCTTATTAGGCTAGAAATAACTTTTTTAGTGCTATGTACATTTAATTCAGGAATCACAAAAGACCGAAATCCTGTAGTCAGAAAGTGAAAGTGACATGACATGTGGCCAAGTATGGTGACCCATACTAGTGCTCTGCATTTAACCCATCCAAAGTGCACACACACACTGTGAACACACACCCGGAGCAGTGGGCAGCCATTTATGCTGCGGCGCCCGGGGAGCAGTTGGGGGTTCGGTGCCTTGCTCAAGGGCACCTCAGTCCTGGTATTGAAGGTGGAAGAGAGCGCTGTACATTCACTACCCCCACCTACAATTCCTGCCGGAGACTCGAACCCGCAACCTTTAGGTTACGAATCCGACTAACCATTAGGCCACAACTCCCCCCTTATCTAGTGTAGAAACCCTGTATTACCCCTGTAGAAACCCCTGAGTAACTTTTTTTTCTTTTACAGGTTGACATCTAGATTGGAAACTGACATCTAAACGACACGTTATTCGAGGCGTGACTAAAGAAGCTGGAGCAAAAAGTGAATATGGTCAGTCGAGGCAAAACAACATGCACAGCCCACTTTCCGAAGACCAAAGTTGACTGACTCAGACTCGTGACTCGTGTCTGAGCCTAAATGTGTGAGACGAAGCTGTGGACAGTTACCAGATATAGAGGCCGTCATATCTTCTCATTTTAGAACACACAGCTGTCAAAAAAGGGGGTCAACTGAAACCGTCTGTGCCGACAGCACGTTTGGGAGTATTTTTCCTCCTCGGTTGTGCTGAGAACTAAGCGATGGCCATGGTGAGAGGGGGGTGGGGAGATCCCAATGGGGAGACTAATGGACTTGGTGACAAGGGGTACCTGAGGGGAGATGAGGACGATGGGTCACCGCAAGGAGGCGGCAGCGACATGGAGGCCGGGGAGGATGATAAAGGTTGTGTGGTGGACTGTGGGGTCTGCGGTGACAAGTCCAGTGGGAAACACTACGGCGTGTTTACTTGTGAGGGCTGCAAGAGCTTCTTCAAACGGAGTGTCCGACGAAACCTAAACTATACCTGCAGGTAATGGAGGGAAAGTCAGCGATATTTATGTATGTGTTAGCTGTACGTGTTAGTTGATGTTCTCAGCATGTTAATTTCAGTCTCACCATTAAGCCATTTTTTTTGGTCCCTTTCAGATCAAACCAAGACTGCCAGATTGACCAACATCATCGCAACCAGTGTCAATACTGTCGCTTAAAGAAGTGTTTCCGAGTGGGAATGCGCAAAGAAGGTAACTGTCTATCCCTCTCATCAAATCAGTCGGAATGGCTTTCTGTCATTGTTTAGTGCACACAGACTCAGTCAACTGATCCACTGATTTGTCAACATGTTATAGAATATATAGTAAGCAATGGGCTGTGTTTCATTGACATATTTAGGACACATTTTCAAGCATACACTACTGTTTAAAAGTTTGGGCTTAAGATATTTTTAAAATGTTTTTGAAAGGAGTTAATTATGCTCACCAGAATCACATTTATTTTACCATAAATACAGTGAATATACAGTAGTATTGTGAAATATTGTTGCAATTTAAAAATTATTTTCTGTTTTAATATATTTTCAAATATAATTTATTCCTGTGACAGCAAAGCTGAATTTTCAGCAGCCATTGCTCCAGTCTTCAGTCACATGATCCTTCAGAAATCATTGTAATACGCTGATTTGCTGCTTAAGAAACATTTCTTACTATTAGCAATGTTGAAAACAGGTGTCCTGCTTAATTTTGAGGAAACCATGGTCCATTTTTCATGTTTTTTTGATGAACTAAGTTCAAAAGAACATTTATTTGAAACTGAAATCTTTTGAATAAGAGTATTAACAAGAATATTAAAGCTGAATAAGATTTTTTTTTTTTTTTACTGTTTTAACACTACTGAATCTACAGCGTTATGGGAAAGAAATTATATTTTACACAAATTGTGAGTTGGCTGTATGAATTGAATGTGACGGAACATCAAAATTCGTTTTTTTGACTACATTGTTTTCACTGACTGCATGCAAAAACAAGCATACAGCGTAAACAGTGTAGTCCAATTCACAAAACATGACTCTTAGAAACAGGTTATTTTAATGACTTGTTAAAAGAACTCACAGGTTACTGGTTTGAAGCAGTCTGACAAACGTAATGGGTTGCTAAAGTGGAAAGCTGTAGAGATCACTGTTTTATATTTGATAGTTAGAGTGACGAGAGTCTAAGAGCTGTATTTTATTTTAAGCCGACCCAGATGGTGTTTGTTTACCACAATTGCCAGTGCACATGATGAAACTTACATTAGGGTGTGATGACCTATATATTTCACTGTTTCCTCAACAGTTTTGATTTTAAAACAGAGTGATGGTTAGAATGTTTAGCTTTTCATTGAACATTTTCATTCCTCGTTTATAAAGTCTCTCAAGGTTCAACCAGAACGGTGTTTGCAGGTTCCTTTTTCATTTTTTGAGTGCTCGTGTAATCAGGAATTAGATGTTTCTAATCCCTTAGGTCAGTGCTCTGACTCTCTGCCAGATGTTGCATGTTAGCAAAAGAAAGGAGCATTGAAACGTAGTAATGTCATCTATCAAGCGTTTCAACTCCATCACGACTCTCCCCTTCTCTCTCCCCTTTCCCCCTTTAGCAGTTCAGCGTGGACGCATCCCACCTTCGCATTCAAGCCTCAGCCCATCCACGACTCCAGTGGGCGGTAATGCCGGCAGTGGCGTGAGCGAGTTCTACAACGGGCAGCCGGTGTCTGAGCTCATCTCCCAGCTCCTGCGGGCAGAGCCTTACCCTAACAGCCGCTACAGCCATCAGTACAACCAGCAGATGCAGGGGGGCGGAGGATCCATGGGCATCGACAGCATCTGCGAGCTAGCCGCCAGACTCCTGTTTAGCATCATCGAATGGGCCAGAAACATTCCTTACTTCCCCGAGCTGCCTGTATCTGAGCAGGTGGCCTTGCTGCGACTCAGCTGGAGCGAACTGTTTATACTCAACGCCGCCCAATCTGCCCTGCCCCTGCACATGGCCCCGCTGCTCGCCGCCGCAGGCTTTCACTCCTCTCCCATGTCTGCCGAGAGGGTGGTGTCCTTCATGGACCAGGTGCGCATCTTCCAGGACCAAGTGGAGAAGCTGACCCGCCTGCAAGTGGATACAGCAGAGTACAGCTGTCTGAAGGCCATTGCGCTCTTCTCACCAGGTGTGCCAGACACATTACTCCGATTAAACTGCATTTAACCGAACATAATCGGATCAAAGAAGATGTAATATATTTGTATTCTGTACAGAATGGTAGAGTATAGTGAGTATTGTGCTGACTGCTGACAGTCAAATTTCTTGCATAATGCTAGCACCCTCTACTGGAGAAGACAAAATCTTTTTCAGTGTTTCCTATGTGCTTTATGAAGCACCTTTATATTATAACATATTGTTAAGAATAAGGCAAATTATAGATCAGATACCTTCATTATGCAGATATTCTGTCCTGTAGCGTCACACCTTTAGTTAGTTTACATTTATTAATTTAGCACTTGTATTCAAATGACTCAATGTGCATTCAAACATTTTTAGTATACATGTTCCAACTTATAATTCAACTTATGCAGGGCTCAATGTTTTTTTTTTTCAATACGTTTGTTTTTCTTAGTCCAACCACAGATTGATCAGAATTTAGGTTTATTACATACTTTATATGTAATCATTAGATACAATCATTATAATCGTCATTAAATATCTGTTTAATTTATCATTTATATTTGAAAACATGTACATTTAAAAAATCATTCAAACTTATTTGTGTTATTTGTGTATAAGAAATTTGCTGTAATAAGTTATTGCTGAAAATGATACTGTTATAATGTAAGCCATTAATTTCTAAACTCTTGAAGTGCTGGTATACATGGCTAAGCATTACTAATTAGTTTTTACTTCATTTGTAATGTGTTCTTGCAATTTCTACAAAACTTGCTAGCATGCTAGATCATTTTATCTTGTGACAAGTTTAAATTGGTATAATGTGCAACTAAATGTTTTAAGTTATCAAGGCGTAATAACAAATGACAGTGCAGCACTGGCCATCAGTTGACCTCAAACTCGTACAATGAAGCCAACTTTCCACTATCTCTGACATTCGCATACTTTTTTCACATTTTGTCCCTAAAAGGCGGACACACTGAACCTTCAAATTGGTTGTGAAGCAGCCATTACCTTCCGTTTATTCACTATGGTTAAATAAATGAACAGTACATTTATGAATATACCCACATAAAGCAAATGACCAGCGAAAGGTTTAAAAGAAAAACATAGAAGGTTATTTTCTAAGGCTAATGAATGTAAATTATTATGTAATAATTATAAAATAATTACTTGGAGCATAAGTATGGTTTACACTATATATTGATCATTTGCAACTTGTCAACTAACTTTAGATTATTATTAGACTGTTAGGTTAAGATTAGGGTTAGTAGAAGAAGTTACTAGTCAGTAGAAGAATGGGTGTTGATGACTGGTAGTTGACATGTAGTTGCAAAGTTACTTATAGTTGGGAGAACATTAGAGTGGACTATCAAAATAGCGTGTTGCCATAAATATTCATTACCACACATTTTACAGAAATAGTATTTAAAGATCAAATGTTAAGTCCAAAAATTGCAGTTCTCACCTCACAATCCTAGTTTTGATTAGACTTGATTCTTTCATTGTATCCAAAACCAAATCAGATCTGAAAGCTCCACATAACTCTATGTAACTCTCACTCATACTACTTCCCATTGGAAATGAGTGACTTGTTGGCAACTTGACTCAGGCCAGCGTTTCTCCATATTGTTGAGCTCTACCATGACCTTGTCCTTGCTAGCATCATGCTTTACCAGTTGAGTTAGAGGGAGTGTAGTTTCATACCTGAATATCTGGTGTTCTTTGTGTTTAGATGCAAATCAGATCTGAAAGCTCCACATAACTCTATGTACCTCTCACTCATACTACTTCCCATTGGAAATGAGTGACTTGTTGGCAACTTGACTCAGGCCAGCGTTTCTCCATATTGTTGAGCTCTACCATGACCTTGTCCTTGCTAGCATCATGCTTTACCAGTTGAGTTAGAGGGAGTGTAGTTTCATACCTGAATATCTGGTGTTCTTTGTGTTTAGATGCAAATCAGATCTGAAAGCTCCACATAACTCTATGTACCTCTCACTCATACTACTTCCCATTGGAAATGAGTGACTTGTTGGCAACTTGACTCAGGCCAGCGTTTCTCCATATTGTTGAGCTCTACCATGACCTTGTCCTTGCTAGCATCATGCTTTACCAGTTGAGTTAGAGGGAGTGTAGTTTCATACCTGAATATCTGGTGTTCTTTGTGTTTAGATGCATGTGGGCTGACAGACCCGGCTCATGTGGAAAGCCTGCAGGAAAAAGCTCAGGTGGCCCTGACCGAGTACGAGCGCATGCAGTACCCCGGGCAGCCCCAACGCTTCGGACGGCTCCTACTGCGACTGCCTGCTCTGAGGGCCGTGCCCGCCAACCTCATCTCTCAGCTCTTCTTCATGCGCCTGGTGGGCAAAACGCCCATCGAGACGCTCATCCGTGACATGCAGCTGTCTGGCAGTGCCATCAGTTGGCCGTACGCACCCGGACAATAACCATTATCAGATGTGACCATGAAACCAGTCTGAAATTCAAACTATCTCAGTGTGATTGTGTTTTTTCAACCACACATTCACTTCTGATATTCACCGGATCACCTAATGCAACAGGGTCATACTGTGGGAATGGTGGATTCAGTAGTACATGGCAGAAGGCTTGATGTATGCTCTGTGTGAACTGTTTTATGAGGCCCAGAAGCATTCTTAAAAAATTACTTGAGAAATCTTGGTTATCTGCTAGCCAAAGGTAAGATGTTAGGTACAGTTTCATAGCGAGTTATTAAGTGGAAATTGGTTAAAACCCTAAACAACAAGCTCTGTCAGTTGGGTGTAAACGTGAAAGTCACTTTAGACTGTCCCTGGAGGCAGCAGGAAATCAAGTCCCCCTCATATTCTGCTCTGCCCTGTACTTGTGTACCAGAAAGCCTGAAGGAGGAGGAAGTAGACATGATGACATCCAAAAACCCAAACAAGCCAAACCGAAACAGTCAGAATCGGGGACTTAGGCATTTGTTTTGCCAATGATAACTACTTGGCTTGTATTTTTTAGCTCTTTTCCCCTATTAATGCTAATGCATATCTATGAGGAGAGATTGAAATTTGCAAAAGCTAGTAGATCATGTTTTGTGACAACCATTTGACAAATGAATTGCGGGCTGTATTTGTACTTTGAGTTAAGGTACAGACTTGTCTCTTCACGAAAGATTCATTTTTTAATGCACACTGCATTTGCGATAGATGACAAATGAAGTAGTCATGCTTTTTTTTTTCCAGATTAAAAACCAGTGAACATTCTTCATCAACACACTACTGGTTTCTATTCTGCTTTTCTGCTATTCTTTTTTTTTCTCACTTACCAGTTCATGTTAAACTGGTAATGAAGTCACAATATGTATGTTGACCAAAAGAAATACCTCTACAGTCTTTTGAGACTCAAACGGACTTTCAGTCATTCACGGCTGGGTCAATTTTTAAATTTATCAGCACACTTGAGCTGCTCACTTTACACTAAAGAGGAGTGATTGGATCTATCTGTCTGTTATGTTTGGCCGTTCTCAGTAAGAAACTGGCATTGCCTGTTTTGTCTTTCGTGGAGCAGTGCTCTGGTGTGGCGTCTCACAGGTGACAGCATGTTGTATTTGGCTCTTGTGAGATGTACGTTTTCTAGCCTTATCATACATGTGAATGACTAATATTACCTCATATTTAGGCCTTGGAACGTATCAGGTGGTCTAATATACATAAATGCATCAAAACGGCAACATGCACAGTTTTCATTTTAATATCTTTGTCTTTTTAAATACTTGTGTATGACAGCTTGATTAAACAAAAGTATCATACATTGAATTGTGTACTGGTGAGTGCTGTTTTGTTACCTATCAAATTACAAAGGAAACGTTTTCTTTAAGAGTTTTATACACAAATTGTAAAGAGATAATTTTACAGGAAAATCGAAATTTTTTACAACTCCTGCAACTTTACATACACAACTCACTCGGCACAGCTTGTAACAGTCTAGATAATAATAATACATTTTATTTAGTATAGCGCCTTTAAAAGAGTACTTTCTCAAAGCGCGTTACAACACAAGCAAACACAAAAATCCAAAGTAATACACAAGAATACCGAGTAACAATCAGTTAAAAGCAAGACGGAAGATAAAACGTTTTAAGACGAGATTTAAAAATACCTAAAGAATTTGCTTCCCTGATGTCAGCCGGGAGAGAATTCCACAATTTGGGGGCGTAAAATGAAAATGCCCGATCACCCCAGAACGCAGCCGTGTTTTAGGAATGACTAAAAGACCGCTGTGAGAAGATCGCAAATAAAAAAAAAATAGGGAATTAAAAGCTCAGCCAAGTACTGAGGAGCCAGACCATGCAGTGCCTTGTATGTTAACATGAGAGCTTTATAATCAATACGAAATCTAACTGGGAGCCAATGCAATAATTCCAAAACAGGAGTTATATGATCAACAACCCTGGCCCCTGAAAGAATTCTGGCTGCTGAATTTTGTAAATGTTGAAGTTTGTTAATACAAGATTTTGAGACTCCAATAAGAAGGGCGTTACAATAGTCTAGACGAGAAAAGACAAAGAAATTAATTAACCTTTCAGCAACAGAGAAAGACAGCATAGGTCGTAGCCGTGCAATATTTCTGAGATGAAAGTACGAGGTCTTAACAGTGTTCAGCACGAAAGGCTCAAATGACAAGCTGGGATCAAAAATAACGCCCAGGTTTTTTTATTTACTTTGTAACTCCAGAGCAACACCACCAACAGACAAAGCTAAAGATCTAGCATTACGCAATTTATGGGGAGAGCCGAGAAGCATAACTTCCTTTTTGGAACTATTCAAACAAGAAATTTTCAGACATCCACAACTTAATCTCAGAGAGACAGTGTGAGAGATAGCAAATATTCACATCTTGGCCCGGATTAGAGTGGATGTAAATATGCGTATTGTCGGCGTAAAAATGGTAGTTCAGTTCGAGAGCTCTTAACAATTGCCCAAGAGGAAACATATAAATGCTAAAAAAAACAAGGGACCAAGTAATGAGCCCTGAGGGACACCAGTACTAACAGGACCGACCTCTGATCTGTGACCATTCATAAAAACAAAATGACTACGATCAGTTGAATAGGATCTGAACCAATCCAGAGCAATCTCTGTTACCCCAAAGACCAATTCGAGTCGACTAAGTAATACCGTATGGTCGACGGTATCAAAAGCTGCACTTAGATCCAGAAGGATAAGGATTGACACAGATCCAGCGTCAGATGCTAGTAACAAGTCAGTAGTAACTTTGACCAAGGCTGTCTCAGTACTGTGCAGTTTCCGAAACCCAGACTGGTATGGCTCAAAAAGGTTGTTAACAGTCAAATGATTGTGTAATTGAGAAGCAACAACACCCTCTAAAATTTTAGCCAAAAATGGAAGATTTGATATTGGACGAAAATAGTTAAAATTGTTCACTTCAGTATTTTGCTTTTTGAGAACAGGGGTGACTGCAGCAGTTTTAAGTGCTGCTGGCACAACACCAGTTGACAAGTACCAGAAAAACATAAAAAATTGACTGCCGACGTCTGTGAACCAGAGAAACAAAATGCATGTTTACGGACACAAGCAGTTTTAGCACTAAAATGGGTGAGAAAATCATTACACAACTGAACTGATGCAGTCTGAGAATTAGCACCGTCAACTTTAAGAAGACAGTTAATAGTGTGAAAGAGCTGCCTGGGATTATTTTAGTTATTTACAATAATCTGAGAAAAGTAGGATGATCTTGCTTTTTCAAGTGCTACTTTATATTGACCCAGACATGATGTATAGATGTATACAGTGTATGCATTCATGTGTACAGTTTTAGACAAAGAAATCCTGGTGATCAGTAATATTAGTCTTCTCTCTCCTTGCAAAGCTTCTGTCATAATTTTTCACCAGTTGTTTGATATGACACAGCTCCTGCCTCAGTTTTTTACACCGGAGCTTCGTAGCCTGGTATTCTGGAGACTAGAGAAAAGAAACAGACAAAAATATGAAATGACTGTAATGACTGATTTAGACCATTAGGGCCAATCAGTCTCCTTATACTGATGGACAAAAACCAATCTCCATCAAGAATTTTTTCTTACCCGCTTCAGATCCTTGAGTCGATTATATTCATCAGCTACAGCCTGTGATACAATATATATATATATATATATATATACAGTGGGTACGGAAAGTATTCAGACCCCCTTAAATTTTTCACTCTTTGTTATATTGCAGCCATTTGCTAAAATCATTTAAGTTACTTTTTTTTTCCTCATTAATGTACACACAGCACCCCATATTGACAGAAAAACACAGAATCGTTGACATTTTTGCAGATTTATTCAAATGGCTGCAATATAACAAAGAGTGAAAAATTGAAGGGGGTCTGAATACTTTCCGTACCCACTGTATATATATATATGGGTTGTATTGAGTTTATATTGAGTTTATATCATACAAAATATATGTTGTAATTGATGTCTGATCAACTTTCTTAACTTTATTATTTTACTTTATTGGTTTTTGATGCCTACCTGGAACTTGGTGGATTCCTCATGGAGGGTGTCCAGTTCTCGGCTCAGTTCATTCATTTGATCACTGATATCATCCATTTCTGCACAGAGGTTCTTGTATTCAGTGAGGGAGATATCAAACTGTTTCTTGTACTGTCTGCGCTTATCATCGGTTGTAATTTCTGAATGAGAGCTGTAGCAGGAAAAAAAACAAGTGACTATTCTGCAAAACAATCTGCTATTAGAACAGTAATAGAAAAACATTCTTAACTGCATCAGCTCTTTTAAACAGCACAGCATTAGGGCGGGGGGGTCTAATGCTACTTAATGCATTCTAAATTAGTTACACTGTTAAAGAGTTGGATTCTCATGCTAAACATCGCCAACAAGTTTAAAAAAAAAACTATTTGGACGTATGATGGAGTATTTCTGTGCCAAATACACTCCTTAAGTTTCGGAAAGTTTTTTTCAACCTTCATGACGTCATAAAAGGCAGAATTCCTTGTATGGGCACTTCTCCCGGAAGAGCGCATGCACACGTCAACCAGGGGTGCGTTTCCCAAAAGGAACTATGGTCGCAAGTTCTGTCATTACCAATAGAGTTCAATGGAACTCTAGTTAGCTAACAATGCTTTTGGGAAACGCACCCCAGAGCGAGAGCAGGAGCACACCCATCAACGTCGTCACAGGACTTACTCGAGAAGAATGTCTCCAACGAAGTGTGTTTTTGGTTGTAAGGGAAGGTTAACCTTGTTCAGCTTCCCAAAGAACCCAGCGTTACGTGAACAGTGGCTGCAGTTAGTTTTTCCGGGGCAGCAACAGAGTTTCACAAGTGTGTTTGTTTGTTCCCGTCATTTTGGTGATGAATGTTTTATAAACGAGGTCCAGTTCGTTTGATACTGAAAGATGGAGTGTTCCCGTCATTTTGGTGATGAGTGTTTTATAAACGAGGTCCAGTTCGTTTGATACTGAAAGATGGAGCAGTCCCAGCAATAAAAGATCCTGATCATGATTCGGAACCGCAGGCGGTTTGTAAAACAGCATCGAATTTCTGTTTTTTGTTGGCAATCGGCACACAAGTACTCCTGACTCTTTAGCTCTGCCCACGGCACGCCTCAGAGAGAATCATTTTATATTCTTTTATAAATATGATTAAACTAAAGACTCTTTGGATATATAAAGGATGCAATACTTCTCTATAGGTACTCAAGATTAAAGGGGTCATATGATGCGATTTCAAGTTGTCC